GGGACAAGGCAGGGCTTGGTTTCCCCAGGGTGAGTGCCACTTCCATGGGAGGAGGATGTAGTGGGGTGGTTTCCCCTGCAAACCTGCTCCATCTGTGGTAGCTGCTTGCAGCCTGGCCCCGGGGACCTCCCAGCCCTCCCTTCTCCAGCCCTCCTGCTTCCAGGAGATGGCATCACTCGATCACGGATAGCAGCACTGAGCCCCAGGGAGCGTCGGGGGAACCTTGGCCACTCTCCCTCTCCACTGCACCCACCTGGTTTCCACCAGGAATCTCAGGTCTGGAGGACTAGCAGGAGCTCCTCAGGATGGCTTTGGTGCTGGGGTTCTCTGAGGTAGATGAAGAGGGTACTGCCACCCCCTTTTGTCCAGCCCCGGGGGCTCTGGCAGCCCCTGACCTTCTCACTCATGAGACCCTGGTATGGATGGCATCCTGGGGCATCAACGGTCCCCAGAAGCACTTTTCAGTCCCAGTCTAGCAGCTAGGATGCTACTTGGGGAGCCCATGGATGGGACCCCATGGAGGGCTCCTCGCCTGGCTCTTCCCCAGCATAAACTTTGCCAACCATAATCCCCACCAGCAATAACCAAGCCAAAGAAAAGGAAAAGAGGGAAGTTATCATCGGTGGATCTTTATGGCCCAGTCATCTTCCCCTTCCCCCTTCGCCCCGCACCGAGGGAGCTCGTGGCACGGCTGTTAGCAGGCACCTGGCGATGCTGCGCCCTGCCGAGCCCTTCACCTGCCGTGGGGAGGATGCAGGTGTGGGGTGCTGCCCCTGGAACCCCTGAACCCCCTGGTCCCCAGCAGCTGCCTGAGCCCTCGGCCTCAGCTCCATGGGCTGCGAAAAGGGAAAGGGGGGCCTGGGCTGCCCATCACTGCCCATGGGAAACAGCCATCGGCAGGAAAAACCCCAGCATCCCCCGTCCCTGAAATGCAGCCGCCCCTGGGGTGGGATCCAGCAGCCACCTGAGTTCCTCCATATCTCCCATCCTGTGCTATAGGGGGGGGGACACGTTCTTCTTTTTTTCCCACTCACTGAGCCAATGCGTCTTTGCTGATGGGAGGAGGAGGAAGGCGGCCTTGGCTCTCTTGTTTAAACAAAGCCATGGCTGTGTTGAGACCTTGGGAAAAATTCAGGATAGATGGGGTTATACAGCACATCAATCAATCTGTGCTGTGGCGTGACCTGAGATCATCACTGGGTGGGATGGTCATGACGGTCACCTTTGTCACAAAGGAGAGAGCCGGGACAAGGCTGGGTGAGGTGCCAGGGACTCTGGGGAGCACAGGGAGGATGCTGCAAATTGCTCACCTCTTGTGGTACCACTGGCCATGCAAGGTCTTGGGAGGCAGAGCCTGGGAGATCGCAGCTCTGGGGGTCATTTCCCATTGCTGGGGTTTTACTCTGCTCCCTTCTTGCAAACCAGATCCCTCTCTTCTTACTCCATCTCCCTTCGATCTTGTCCTGGCTCCTACCTCCTTGCAGGGAGTGGATGTGTCACAGGGGCATCCATGTAGTATTTTCACCCAGTTTCAGCCAGAATTGAGGCTGGAGCAATGGGATGAGATGCCCAGGACTGATGCAGAGCCATGGAGGGTCCACAGCTCCAGGGTGGCTCCAGCGTGGCGTGCTTGATTGCGGGGTGGGAACAGCAGCAGCCTGGCCTGGCTGTGGCTGGGAGGGCTGCGAGGTGGGTACGGCAAGCTCTCGCAAAGTCCACCTTGAGCAAACAGATGACAGCGGTGCTGCGGGGGCTCGGGGACGCGCCGATCCCTCCATGAACACGGGAAAGCTCAGGATGCCGTGAGGAGGAAGGGCTGGCATGGGAGCGAGCGGGGCCACAGGGAGCACTGGTGGCTGGGTGCTGTCCCCAACCCACTGGCTAACGCTGGGCACGTCTGCCACCCGTGACAGGGGGGGGAAGCAAGAAATGGCCATGCATCAAATGCGCTGAGCTCCTCGAGTCAGAGAGGCTCTGCTGGTTTTGTTACCATTTTCCTTTTAACTGCACAAATCTGGGAGGCAATCTCACACTGGAAACACTTCCTGGGTTCATATCTGCAGTCAGAAAAATGTCTGAAAGTCTCTTGTTTTATCCCCTCCTCTCAATTTCATTCTAAATTTCTTTTTTTTTCCCTGCCTTTTTTTTTTTTTTTTTTTTCCTTCCTTCTTATTGTCAAATTCCAGGCTGTTTCTGTCCTGGTAGGATGCAGACTGACCTGTCCCCACCTTGCTCATGTTTCCGGAAGGGGAAGGGGCTGGTGTGGAGAAAAAGGCAGAGGTGGCCTTGGGGAGGTGACAAAACACCCTTCTGGAGCCTCTGTAGGTCTGTGCTTCGGTTTGAGGAGAAAAAGCCAGCCTGCAAACGATGACTGTGACTACGTGGTGGTGGCCGGCACAGCCGGATTGTGACACTGGTGGGGAGGGGGATGATGATGGGGAGGAGGCTCCTGGCCGCAGATGATAGGGGTTTCTGGGTGGCATGGCACAGTGCTGGTCCTCAGTCCCTCATCCCCCTCTGGAGCAGAGGTGTGTATGACCTGATAGGTGATGAGTGGGTGATCTCTGCTGGGGGCTGTCTGTGTCTGGTGGCCACCTCCTGCCTTGCAGGCAGACACGGCTTCACGGAAGTCCCATTTCTGTTTGGTTTTCACTATCAGAAAACATATGAGGATGTTTTTGCTTCTTTAACAGAGAAAACAGGTGAGAAACTCCTCTTACTGCAGGGTTGCGAGCCCCTCGGAGCCACGTCGGAGTCCAGGGACTCCTCATTGCGTCCATGGTGGGGGCGTTCCCCCTGCAGACAGCCAGCTCTGTCTGTCCCTCTGTCCTGCTCTCTGAGGTTGAGCTTTGCTATCGGGGTTGGAGGGGTGGGTTTGCCCCTGGATGAAGTAAATGCAGGAGGACTCAGAGCCTTCCCTTCCCACCAGTCCCATTTTCTGAATCAGGTGGATGCCAGCATTGGTCATGGGAAAACATTATCCCAGAGTGAGGGTCTGGTGTACCCCAACATGGTGACAGGGCTGATGGCAGGCACAGCCCAGCTTGTCTCCTGCCTGCAGCCAGGCTTTAATATTGGGGCTCAGCCCAAGGCACCCTGCTCCTGGGGTACGGATGGCTGCAGGGACAAGGTGGGCTCCCTTGGGGCATCCTTGTGGGTGATACCTATGATGCCCTACTGTCCCCAAACCTCACTGCTACAACAGGACCACAGCCGGTGGCGTGGGGACAGCTGTGGGGTGGTGACAACGGAAGGGACATAGGGTCCTCGTTGCTCCTCAGGGTTGCCCACCACCTCGGGCCCCCCTGCCGCTGGGGTGGGAGGTTTGAATTCGCCCCCCACGCCCCCGCCGGGGTTCCTGCACTTTGAAATGCAAACCTGCCTTTCAATGCAAATGCTGAGAGAGGTTGGGCCCAATAAAAGCCTGTGGGCAGGGAGGTGCCTGGCCCCAGGACACAGCTCCCCAAGGCGCCCAGGTGAGCGGTGGCGAAGGAGGGGCGGCCGCCTCCCCACCAAACCGAGCCCGGCCCGCAGCCGGCGGCACAGCGGCGCAGCATGTGTGCGGAGCCGGCCGGGGAAGATGTATGTAGGTTATCTTTTGGATAAGGACACCAACATGTATCCCAGCCCCGTTCGGCATCCCAGCCTCAACCTCAACCCCCAGAATTACGTGCCGGGGCCGCCCCAGTACTCGGACTTCGCCAGCTACCACCATGTGCCGGGGATTAACAACGACCCGCACCACGGGCAGCCGGCGGCCGGCTGGGGCTCTCCCTACACCCCTGCCAAGGAGGACTGGCATTCCTATGGGACCACTGCTGCACCTTCCACCGCCAGTCCGGGGCAGTTTGGATTCAGCCCCCCAGATTTTAACCCCATCCAGCCCCCGGGCTCTGGACTGCTACCTCCACCCATCAGCAGCTCTGTCCCCCAGCTCTCCCCTAACGCCCAGAGACGCACCCCATATGAGTGGATGAGGCGCAGCATTCCCAGCACCAGCAGCAGCGGTAAGGAAACCCCCCCAGCCCTGCGCCCCCGCGCTTCCCTCGCTGCAGAGGATCCCTGGGCTTGAAGCCCTGCGGGGCCAGATCCTGCTCGGCGGCTCACCCTGCATGGCGACTGCCAGGAGTGGCAGCATGCTTGGCCTGCCCTCGGCATGGCACCTGGTCCCTAAAGAGCAGGGGGACCCCACTGCCGAGGTGGCAGGGGTGGAGGATGGGCAGGGAGCATACCGTCCTTCCGCGTTGCTGGCAGGC